GCACTTGACTGCTCACCAGAAGGCTGGCGGTTCAAACCCACCAGCCACTCCTTGGAAGGAAGATGGGGCAATCTACTTCCGTAGTGATACTGCCTTGGAAACCCAAGGAGGGGTCGCTATGAGTCAGGTCCGACTCGTCGGCAAATAACAACAACAAAATCTATTACATTAATTGGGAGCTCTGGGAGCATAGTGCCTAAGGCACTTGACCACTAACCAGAAGGCTGGTAGTGGGTTTGGTCTTTGGTTTTATTAATCATGATGTGCAACTATAATCAGTATCAAATTCTCCAACATGAGAGAGCAAACTCAAGGAATATTATAGCGCTCAATTCATTCAAAACTTTTTTTTTTTTTTATATAGTGTAGGTGGGTGTAGGACCTCTGGTGGTGAAGTGCCTAAGGCATTTGACTGCTAACCAGAAGGCTGGCGGTTCAAACCCACCAGCCAGTCCTCGGAAGGAAGGTTGGGCAATCTACTTCCGTAGTGATACTGCCTCGGAAACCTGAGGAGGGGTCGCTATGAGTCAGATCTGACTTGAGGGCAGTGCATTTGGGTTTTTGGTTTTAGGTAGGTGTAGGTCAGGATGATGGAGGGTCTCACAGTGACATCAGAACTGGCCAGGGACACAGGGCAGAGCCTGAGTGAGATAATAATCCTGGACCTTTTACGAGACGAGTCCCACTAGCAGAAAGGAAGCTGCTGTATGGGATCCTTCTGTTAATTTTACAGTGGCCTCTTTGATTTGCCTGCTCCATATGTCTGAACCTACTAAGTGAGGGCTCGACACACTATAGCCCAAGGCAACATGTGCCCAGCAACTGCTTTTATAAACACCTTATTCTTGGAACATGGACACAACCATTCATAGACTATTGCTATAGCTACTTTCGAGCTATGAGGACAGAGTTAAGTTGTTGGAATATTGAATATCTAGCCTACAAAGCCTGAAATGGTTACAGCGTAGCCCTTTACAATCATGTTTGCTGAACCATGTTCACAATCATTGTCTGTAACTGATCCTATCTCTAACGTAGACTTTCTTATTAGAAAGGAATTCCCTGTGTTTGTGTGGCTGTCATTCCATTTCAATGTGTAAATGTGCTCACCTCACATACACCCACTGAGGTATAGAAAATTACATAATATGCTTTGTCTAGCCATAAGTCTTTGTAAACCTTGTGGTGGAATTTGCTGTGAGCAACCGAGTTGTTGTTATGTGCCCTCGAGTTGGACCCAACTCATAGCGACCCCTCCTTGGGTTTCCAAGGCAGTATCACTACAGAAGTAGATTGCCACATCTTCCTTCCGAGGAGTGGCTGATGGGTTTGAACCACCAGCCTTATGGTTAGCAGTCAAGTGCCTTAGGCACTACGCTACCAGAGCTCCTGAGCAACCGAGTAGCTCCTGATTATTAAAGTTAATCACATGGAGTGTTTCTGTTGGGAGCTGTTGTTGTTGTTCTTGTTATTTGCCATCGAATCAGACCCAACTTACAGTGAAGTGATGCCACCTTGGGTTTCCAAGGCGGTATCACTACAGAAGTAGATTGCCAAACCTTCCTTCCAAGGAGTGGCTGGTGGGTTTGAACCGCCTTCTGGTTAGCAGTCAAGTGCCTTAAGCACTATACTACCAGAGCTTCATGAAATAATTTTCTGGGAAGTTCTCTATCGTAGGTGTACAGAATTCTGATGTTGCGATTCATTACTTGGGCCACTATGCCAGGCTCAAAAAGAGCCCTTCTAGAGACAGAACAAATCTCTCAATTCTGGGAGATGTGAAAGGCATTCACTGCTGAGAGAGAGACTGAGAGACATGCAATGCTGGGAGAAATAATGAAATGATGAGAGACACACACTCCTGGGAGAGATACTGAGCTACGCACTCCTGGAAGAGACACTGAGAGAGACTGTCAGCTGATAGACCGCTGGCTGAGACTGAGCATGTTCCTGAACATGAATTGTAGCCTGTTGCTTCCCTAATAAACCCCATAGTCTGTGAGTTCTATGTGGCCACTGCAGTGAATGATCAACCTCAGCAGACAGGTGGTGGGTGCTACGGGAGGAGCAGTTGGTGTCAAAGTTGATAAAAGGGCTGCACGGAGGTGGTATGTCTAGCCTCACAGGGAAAGGCCTTGGGCTACTGATGGTGATTCTGTCTTTCTCTTCTGGGGTTAGAGGAGGCCAGAAGATAGGGCCTTCATTCCCCTTTGGCACCCACCAAATGACTGGACCTGAGGCTGTAGAAGCTTGTCAGTCAGGTTAGGTAACAGGCTGCTAGATCAAGTCTCATAACTGGAGATCAGAAGATAATGATGCAGGATCTGGAGTAAAACGAAGAACTTTTTCCTATATGTTGGATGTAGACCACACCCTTGAGGAAACTGTCCTGAGTGAGCAAGTTGGTGCAAACATGTGAAGGCTGACAAGGGTAATGGTGGTGACTTTGAGTAACACCCTCTGGTAGAGCAGTGACTGCAGATCCATCCCACCATGGTGACTGTGGGAGAACTGAAAGGGAGGCGATGCAAACCACCATCTGATCTGTGGGAAAAAGAGGCAGCGGTTTGCTTTCATCAAAATTTGAAACCTTGGAAACCCTGTATGACTATTTTGCTCTGTCCTACGGGGTCACTATGAGTTGGAATCCTCAACTGCAGTAGGTTTGCTTTCAGCTTTGTTTCTGTAAAGATGACACTTTGGAAACTATATGGGGCAATTCTACTCTGTCTTCTAGGAGACCCAATCAATTCCACAGCAGTAGGTGTGGTCTTGCCCTTGATTCCTAAAAGATCATCAACTTTGGTTTTCTGGCAAGATGGCAGGATAAGCAAACAAACTTCAAAGACCATCTGTGACAAAGAAACGAGAAACCAGTTAACATCAATACAGAAGACAATCCTGGGACTACTGAGCTTTGAAGTGAAGGATCAAGGGGATTAAATACCAACTAGTACAAGCTGCTGAATGAAAACAGTGAATAAGAGATAAATGGAGCTGTGGAATTCCAGTTCACCTGAGGGCGCAACAAAAATTAAAACGAAGTTCAATTTACTTAAAAGCACAAGTTATGAAAACGACCACTGTATAGCTTACCTCAAAATAAGATAGCCTCCTGCAGGTATTCAAACCCAAAATAACCTTGATCGCTGATGATGCATTGTTTACCTGGAGCTGCTGCCTATTGGTCACAGGCAGGCAGACCTCACGACCCCTGTCACTTTTTGTGGGCGAACTATACAAGTTCTATTTTCAGTTCTCTACAATTGCCTCTCTCCCACCCCGTCCCATCCCATATTGTGGGTTTTCTTGAGCAAAGCCAATGTAGACAGTCTACTGCCTGCTTCGAGTTGGGAATATGGCGAGGGGCATAAACCAGGAATCTAAGAAAATGATACAAGTTCGAATGAGTGCTACACTGTGGTGTGCATCAAAAATATTACTAATTATTACAGATTACATTAAATATACGAGTTCTGATTATGTGGCGCCTAAGGCATTTGACAGCTAACTAGAAGGAGGCAGTTCAAACCCACCACCAACTGCTCAGAAGGAAGACTGGGCAATATACTCTTGTGTTGATAGCACTTCAGAAACCCAAGGAGGGGTCACTATGAGTTGAATGAACTGAATGGCAGAGTTTTTTGTGTTTTTTTTTTTTTAAATCTTAAATATGGTAGTATACAAAGAACTGTTTCTATAGTGATTGAATGAATAGAAAGGCATAGTATATACTATGTCCAATATTTGATTGACATTAAATACACACTATGCTATATCTTCTTATGTACAAATTAAAGTCTCAAGGGCAGATTTAGAAACAGAACTCATTTGTAATCCAAAGACTGTCTCTATTGCCATAAAATATTTAACGAATGAATAAAGGGGAGAAAAGGGAAATGATTTATTGCAGAATTCCAGTGAAGAAGCATAGAAGAAATAGATTACAAAAACAGCACTTAATAAACACCAGAGTAATAATAACCAGATGTACTATTTATTAATGAATGGAAAAATTAGGAAGCAAAAGTACAAAGAAAAGGTGAATATTTATAGTCTCAGAATGTCCTTTTGAGAAACTAATCAAAAGGGGCAAAATAGTTACTTTTACAATAGGAAAGAAGGGAAGGGAATGTGTGAAATTTGAAAATAAAACAAAATAATAGTTTTAAATGAAATACATGATGAATGTAAATAACTACGCAAAATAACATTAAAAAAAAAAAAACATGAATAGGAAAGTACACTTGCTCAAGGCTATATTCCCTTCACTCTTATTTTCTTATATCCAAAGATGTCTGAGAATGATAAAATCTAGCTTGGATCAAGAAAATAATAAATACTGAAAAGTGCTGTACTGCAGGGAAGTAAAATAGTCATTCCTCCAAAAGGCACAAGGCAAGTCTAATGCCCTTTTCATTGAGTTAATATTACTTTCCTTATTTATGACAAACTTTCTTTTTTAAGCACAGAATTTCATATATTTGCTCTTTGAAATGGTTAACAGTAAGGAGGAAACATCCCACTATTGACAGAGTAATCTCTCCACTGTGCGTACTTGTGTGTTAAGTAAGGTAACAACTCCAGGCTTCCACACATCCTTATATTCACAAGGCCTCGCTCCATGCTGAGTTTTGCTACATTCAGAGGGATGGGGGATTACTAAAGGCTTTCCACCTTACTAACATTTTATAACATCACTGACCATTGTCTGAATTTTTATATATTGCTTGCAGTGTGATAAACCCCAAAAGACTTCCCTACATTCCTTAAATTCATTAAGACCTCTCTCCAGTGTAAGATACAACATATGTGGACTGGGGTTTGAGGCCTGAAAAAAGGTCTTCTCACATTCATTACATTCCTAAGTCCTCTGTCCCTTGTGAGTTCCCTGATGTGAAGTGAAGTTAGAGGCCTGACAAAAGGCTTTCCGATACTTATTACATTCAGAGGCTTTTCTCCACTCTGAGTTCTTATGTGTTCCAAGAGACAATAGGTACGACCATAGGTTTTCCCACATTCCTTATATTCATAAGGCTTCTCTCGAGTGATTCTGTGTTTTGAGAGGGTTGAGGAATGACTAAAGGCTTTCCCACATTCATTACATTTATAAGGCCTCTACCCATTGTGAGCTTTTATATGTTCAGTAAGGTAGGATGAAGGAACAAAGGCTTTTTCACATTTTATACATTAATAAGGTCTCTCTCCAGTATGAATTCTTATACATCAAGTTAGAAGTGAGGAATCCCAAAAGACTTACCAACATACCTTACATACAAAGGCCTGTCTCCACTGTCAGATCCCATATGTGAGGTTAGCTTTGAGGTGTGTATACAGCCATTCCCACATTCCTTACATTCATAGGGACTCTATCAACTGTGAATTCTTTTATGTGCAGAGAAGTGTGATAGTCGACGAAATGCTTTCCCACATTCCTTACATTCATAGGGCCTCTCTCCACTGTGAATTCTTTTATGTACAGAGAGGTTTGATAGCTGACTAAATGCTTTACCACATTCCTTACATTCATAGGGCTTCTCTCCACTGTGAATTCTTTTATGTCTAAAGAGAGTTGAGGACCGACTAAATGATTTCCCACATTCTTTACATTCATAGGGCCTCTCACCACTATGAATTCTATTATGTACAGAGAAGTGTGATAGCCGACTAAAAGCTTTCCCACATTCCTTACATTCATAGGGCCTCTCTCCACTGTGAATTCTTTTATGTACAGAGAGGTTTGATAGCTGACTAAATGCTTTCCCACATTCCTTACATTTATAGGGCCTCCATCCACTGTGAATTCTTTGATGTTTATGGAGACTTGAAGGCTGCTTAAAGGCTTTCCCACAATCCTTACATTCATAGGGCCTCTCTTCACTGTGAATACTTTTATGTGTAGAGAGGTGTGAGAGCTGACTAAATGCTTTTCCACAATCCTTACATTCATAGGGCCTCTCTCCACTGTGAATTCTTTTATGGGTAGAGAGGTGTGAGAGCTGACTAAATGCTTTTCCACATTCCTTACATTCATAGGGTTTTCCTCCACTGTGAATTCTTTGATGTGTATGGAGGCTTGAGAGCTGAATAAATGCTTTCCCACATTCCTTGCATTCATAGGGCCAATCTCCACTGTGAATTCTTTTATGTGTAGAAAGCTGGGACAGCTGACTAAATGCTTTTCCACATTCCTTACATTTATAAGGCCTCTCTCCAGTGATGATTCTTTTATGTGTATAAACTTGTGAGGGCCAACCAAATGCTTTCTCACATTCCTTACATTCATAACACTTATCCGACTTGTGAAACTTTGGATGAAACATCAGCGATGATGGATCAGTAATTATTTTACAACATTCATCACATTCAAATTCATGACGTCTCACTTGTGTCCAAAAGGACGAGAAAGTACAGAAATCTTTCACACATTTGTTATATTCACAGTGTTTCTCACCAGTGGGTGTTGTCACAGGAATGTTAAGGGTTGGCATGGAAAAGTCCTTCCTACATACACTACATTTGTCAAGCTTTTTTCCTTTAAGAGTTCTCATGGGAGTGGTTTTTTGAGAGGGACAATGGCAGGCTTCTCTACATTCTGGAAGCTGACAGGTACTAACTGTGGTGTTCGATCTGGTGTGACCCTCACGTGAAGACTCATCCACGAAGGTCAGTCCCCAAAAACAGGATTGAAAACGATTGACTTCTGGAGGGTTTCTTTGTACCACAGCAAGATCTGGAACAGGGCTGAAGATTTTCCCACACTGATTGTCTTCAAAACTTTCACAGAGGATCTTTCTATTATGACTTCTGTTAAACATAGGAAACATGCTGTTGGAAATTAATTTTTTTCCCATTCCATAATTACAAAACACAATGACTGTGCATGGTTTTTGCACTGATTTATCTCATGCTTCATATGTTAATTTATCTGGCAGAAATATGACTATCATGGTCAGAATTTTTCTAAAAGAAGGCTTTCCCATAATCAGGTCAGAGTAAAATATGTGTTAATATTCCATATCTGTCTTACATTTATGAAAACGTAAAAATTTTCTAAACATATAGTTCGTAACTAGTTTTATGCATATAAACATATATATGTATACATGTACATATACACATCAGTACATGTAAGGGTCTCCAGGTGGTTTGACACAGTTCAAGAATTGCAATCCAAACAAGAGCAGTCTACCTGTTGCAGAGCAACCACATCAACTGGAGGTAAGAATTTGAAATGAAGAGGACAGAAATAATGGTACACCATCAAAGACAGTAGTAAAGTGGGCAGCTGTGAATGTGTGTCACTCTTCACAGGCATACCACTAATCCGTGGTCCTGCACCAGGCTCCTGAAGCTGTCAGCATCCATTTTGGAATGGGACTGTTGCAAACACTGTGGAGAGTGCACTCATTGAAAGCAGCTGGCTCATCGATATCTTTTAATGAAGCAACACTATTTTTTCCTGCCATTTAGGTGCCATCAAGATGGCTCCAACTCACAAACACCCCATGCACGACAGAAAGAAACACTGCTCAGTCCCGCAGTATCCTGAAGATCCCTGCTATAATGGGCCCATGATTCCAGCCACTGTTTCAGTCCAACTTGTGGAGGGTCTTCCCTTTTTTTGCCAACTCTACACTTTACGAAACATGGTATTATTATCCAGGAATTCTGTCTTTCTAACAATGTGACCAAAGTAAGTGAGACAAAGTCTGGCCATTCTCATGTACAATGAGCATTCTGACTACACTTCTTCCAGGACAGATTAGTTTGTTCTTCTGGAAGTCCACTGTATTGTCAGTATCCTTTCCAACACAATTTAAAAGCACTGACTCTTTCTTAGTCTTCCTAATTCATTGTCCAGCTTTCATATGCAGATGAGGCAACTGAAAATACCACAGCTTCTGTTAGGTGCACTGTGGTGGTTCAGCTGTGGGTTAATTTGGCCGGGCCTGGTTTTCAGTGGCTGGGCAGCTGGATGTACCATAATGAGGTTGGCCATCAACTCCATGATGGAATCTACTGCCATAGGTGATTAGTTATGTTAGGGATGTGGTCTACTTCCAGTGTATAAGAAGTTCTGAAAAAGATCTCTGAGCTTTGGGGCATGCTTGGACTCTGATTGTACCTGCATCTTCATTCCGCACCCTGCCATTTTCTGCCCAATCTTGGGACTGTCTCTGGACTTGAACTAGTGGCCTGCCATGTTATTTGGTAATCTTGGGACTATGCCATTTTATTTGTCAACCTTGGGTCTGTCATCCTCAGCCGCCATCAGCTACCCGAGTTAACAGAAGACTCTAGCTTCAATGGGTGGGAGGCAAGAAGCAGAGCTGAAGCCTTCACCCAGTACCAAGAGGTGGCACTTTGAATTCGCGCCTCTAGCCTCCTTTTCTGTTACCAAAATAAACTCCTGTTTGTTAAAGCATCCCATTTTTATACCGTCTAATGGAGCACCACAGGAGAACCAAAACATGCACCTTAGTCTTCAAAGTGGTATTTTTATTCCAAAATGCTTTAAAGAGGTCTTGGGCAGCAGACTGACCCTGTGCAATTTGACATCTGACTTCTTGACTGCTTCTTTCATGGGTGTGGACTGTGGATCCAAGTAAATTGAAATCTTTAACACCTTTAATCTTTTCACCATACATCATCCTGCTGCTTATTCATCCAGTTCTGAGAATTTTCAGTTTCCTTATGCTGGGGAATAAGTTATACTGTAGACTCTAGTCTCTGATTTCCATCAGTATGGGTTTCAACTCATCTTCACTTTCAGCAAGAAAGGTTTGATCGTCTGAATATCACAGGTGATTAATGAGTATTCCTCCAATCCTCATGTCACATTTTTCTTCATATAGTCAGTCTTCTTGGATTATTTACTCAGCATACAGATGGAATAAGTAATGGTGGATGGATACAGCTCTACTGCACACCCTAATTGTAAACAATGGATTATCCCCTTGATCTGTTCCAATGACAGTCTATTGTTCTATGTACAGGTTCCTAATGAACTCCATTCAGTGTTCTGGAATTCCCATCTTTCCCAATGTTATTCATAAATTGTTAAGATCCACACAGACCAATGCTTTTCCACAGTCAATGAAACCAAGGAAAAGGTCTTTCTCATACTCTTTGCTTTCAGCCAAGAGCCATCTAATACCAGTAATGATATCCCATGTGCATGTCTTCTTCTTTTGAATCCAGCTTGCATTTCTGGAAGTTCCCTGTCAATATACTGCTGCAACCATTCTTCAACTCTCTTCAGTAAGATTTACTTGCATGTGATATGAATGATACTGTTCTAATTTCCACATTCTGTGGATCTCTTCCAGTTAGTCGGCCAGGGAGCTCTCTTCCACATTTCTTGACATAGACAAGTGAGTGGCTCCAGTGCGGCATCTGTTGGTTGAAACATCTTAATGAGTATCCTGTCAATTCCTGAAGCCTTCTTTTTGGCCTATTCCTACAGTGTAGCTTCGACATCTACCTTCAATACCATTGGTTCTTCATTCAATGCTAAGTCCTGAAAGAGTTGAACAGTGACCATTTTCTTTTGTACAGTCACTCTGTATAGTTCTTCACTCTCCTTTTCACGTTTCCTGCAACATTCAATAAGTTGTCAATACTCAGGTCCTTACAGCAACTTGAGGGTTGAATTGATTCATAGGTTTCAGCTAGAGAAATGCTGAGCACCATCTTCCCTTTTGGTGTTCTAACTCCAGGACTTTGCACATTTCATTATAATAACTGACATCATCTTCTTGACCTACTCTTTGAAATCTTTTCTTCACCTCTTTTCTCTTATCATTTCTTCCATTGGCTTTAGCCACTATTCTTTAAAGGGCAAGTTTCAGAGTCTCTTCTGACATCTATTTCAGTATGTTCTTCCTTTCCTGTCTTTTTAAATTCCTTTCACATTTTCAATAGATGATATTCTTGATGTCATCTCATAATCAGTCTGCTGCTTAATATCGTTTCACAACTCATTAGGTTATCTTTCAGTCACTGGTGTTCAATGCATCAAATCAATTCTTCATATGGTCTCTAAATATAGGTTGGATATAAGATGGTCATATTGTAGCTCTTCTGGACTTCTTTTAGTTTCTTCAGAAACAGCTGGAACTTGCATATGAGCAACTGATGGTCTATTCAACAGTCAGCTCCTGGCCTTGTTTCACTGAAGATACTATCTCTATCACCTCTTAATAGAGCTGTACTCAATCTGATTCCTCCGTATTCCATCTTGCATGGTCCACATGTTTAGGCACCGTTTTTGTTGTTGAAAAAAGATATCTGCAATGAAGTCATTGATCTTGCAAAATTCTATCATGTTACCTCCATCCTCACTTCTATCACCAAGACCATATTTTCATACTACCGATGATCCTTCATTTCCCACTTGCACATTCCAATCGCTAGTAATCATCAATACATCTTTATCGCATGTTTGTTCAATGTCACAACTGCAGAAGTTGGTAAAAATCTTTAATTTCCTCAAATTTGGCTTTAATAATTGGTATGAAACTTTGAATAGCAGTATTCCGTGGTCTTCCATGTAGGTGTATGGGTATTAGCCTATTATTGATAGCACTGTACTTCAGGTGATCTTAAAGTATTCTTTATTTATTTAACCTCTGGCCTCAAAACAATACACAAGCCACCACAATATAAAAAACTGACAGATGAGTGATTTTCCCTACTGGGGTCAAAATCCAAATGGCACCAGATTTGCTTGCTATGCAACACATACATTGCCCTTCATCAAATCAGTAACTACTGTAATGTTATAAACTGATTCAGAGTCAGTTATACACATATAAATGCTCATATGTGTATCTTAATGTCATGACCCCTTACAATTTTCTCTAGAGGTACTGTTTTCTCTTGTTGAATAACACTCACCTCAAACACATCCCATGGATTTTATGCTGGTCTTGACTGTCATGAGACTTGGAAATTTCTCCAAACAAGGAGGACCAATTGTTACTCCTCATGAATTGCAACATTTTATGATCCGTGCACAACTTTTCTCCATCACTAAAAGTGACTGACCCAATAATTCAAATGGATGTTCACAACATGAAACAAAAACGAAAGGTATTAGGGAAAAAAGAGGATGCTGTCAAGTAAAAAAGGACTTAACCACATTTCATTGTTTCAGAAATGGTTAAGAAGTCATTGAATAGGAAATATTCCAAGTGGATGGAGAGTAATGGTGGCATAAACAAATGGATGTAATTAAGAGAGCGAAGTAGAAAGATATTAGCCACAATACACATGTAACATCACAGAAGAAGAAGGGTCCGCATGACCAGAGGTGACA